TAGCCTTCACAGCCTCCTGCAGCAAGGAGTTCCACAGGTTGACTATTTGCTTTGTGAAGAACAACTTTCTGTTACTAGTTTGAAGCCTGCTACCCATTCCTTTCCTTTGGTGTCCTCTAGTCCTTCTTTATGGGAACTAATGAAGAACTTTTCTGTATGCACCCTTTCTACCCCACTCATGCTTTTAGAGACCTCTATCCTGTCCCCCCTCTGTCTCCTCGTTTCTAAACTGAAAAGTCCCAGTCTCTTTAGCCTCTCTTCATATGGGACCTATTCCAAACCCCTGATCATTTTAGTTGCCCTTTTCTGAACCTTTTCCAAGGCCAAAATATCTTTTCTGGGGTGAGGAGATCACATCAGTACACAGTACTGAAGATATGGCGTACCATAGTTTGATACTTCCCCTCCTCCTTCTTCCCCTGGCTTCCCCTTCCAGCTCCCTCCTCCCAGGTTTCCTCCTCCCCTCTCCCACCCTCTCTCTTCCCCTCTCCCACCTCCTTTTCCCAGTCTCCCCGAGTTTTGTTCAATAAAGAGAGTTTCTATTTTTGACCACACATGTCCTTTATTTTGTACATCAGGAAGGGGGGCTAGGGAGGGGTAAGTGGAAGGAGGTGAGGGAGGAATGGGGTACGAGCCCCCGATGGGGAGGACTGGGCTGGCTCTGCGGGCTCCTCGGGGTGGAAACTCTCTTGAAGCGCCTTGATTTACACCCCTCCGGATGGCAGCCTGAGGCAAGTGCAGCCGGGCTGACGGCCGAGTGCTGTGATGTGCCCAGTGTGGGTAATCCGGGCAATCCAAGCCAGGACTGCTTTGCAAGCGGGGCACCCCTGAGAACTGTCTGTCCGGGATGGGGGTCGGGACCCTTTAAGCACAACCCTCGGCTAGCCTGAGGCAGCAGCTCCACGCTCTAAGTCCTACTCTGATGCCCTGCCGGCACTGCTTCCAGCCATCCTTAACCTCAGTTCAGGGTCCATTCAGTGTGGACATGCTAGTTCGAATTAGCAAAACGCTAATTCGAACTAGTTTTTAAGTCTAGATGCACTAATTCTAATTAGTGCTGTAGTGTAGACACCCAAATGTAGCCACTTTGAGCTACTGTTGGTAGAATTGGGAAGCCAATTCTGTGTAACCAACCCAAGGAAGATCACTTCAATGTAAGGGTGATTTTGCAGAGGTATATTGCAGATATCGGAGGGCATGTCTACATTAGGACATTGCACAATCCCATCTTGCAGTATGTGAATTTTGATTTTACATGAGTACTCAGCCCAATGCTTTGTAAGATTTTTGAGTAGGTCACAGAGAGCCACTTCTCAACACAATGGAGACTGTCACAAAAATTTCCTCTGATCCAGTGTCTGCTAAGAATTATAAGGACCTTGTTTGTTAGGTATATGCTCCTGAATAGCCTGATCCAAGGATTCTTAGATTCTAACATATCTCATTTGAACATCTGCTCTGATTTTATGCCAAACCATGTGGACAGATATAAAAGATTTGACCCAGACTTAGGATGAACTGCACATACTGAGTAACCAAGCAGTACCTTTGAATTCAGCAAGGCTGGAACAAAAAAGGATCAATTTATTTTTGTAAGTCTTGAGGATGCTATAATTTCTGTGCAAGTCAAGAAATCTGACAGTGAATTAGTAACCAAGATATTTTTGGATCAAAAGTAAAAAAAGGGACTACACAGATCAGAGAGTATTTATTATTTGGGGTAAAAACTAATTATGCACTGAATTTATGATCCAGAGATATTATACCAGGATTAAAAACAAGAGTTTTTTAACTGTTGCTTTCTTTTTGTCAGTTTTCTCTATGTTATTCATTTAGTTACACTAGAATCCTTAAATTCTTTGGGTGACATGTATATACACACACCTTTGGTGGAAGAGGAATGAGACAGATTTTGGCTGTAACTTTTGTAAAAATAATTTACTTGCCACCCTCATCACCATCACACCAGATGCCTCCCACCAAGATCTAAAAGAAGACAAGAAAAGGACATGTGGAACGTTTTTTGCCAGTTAGTAAAGAAATTATGACAGGATGGAATTCTAAGATAGATATTATTGTAATGTAGAATGTGTCATGCTTAAACTAACACCCCTACCTCCACATAGCATTTGGATTATTGTTCCTGTGAAAGGAACTAAGTGGACATACATTCAGATTGTGAACTGTTCTAAAACCTATTATCATGACCTCTAGTGGATGTAAAGCTGTACAACTGTTTTGGCAAGATATTTTCTTCTGTTATATAGTGAAAAAACAATACAAATAAACACCATACACTTTTAACATTTGCAGTCTTTGTAAAATGAAAAGATTTAAAAATAGACAGTAATTATATGCTGAAACAAACATACTAGATTAAATTAATCCCAGCTGCTGTAACTCCATATAAGGAAAGATATTCAATATACTATGATATACACACCAAGTATGAACTTTTATAATGAAATTCCATGGCATAATAAAACTACAACAGCCCTGTTCATATTGGGCTGGATACTATGTTTAAACATAGTTCCTGGCCCAATACAAGCATGGACATAATTTTCCAGAAGACTGTGAGCACTTCCCAGCACCAAGACAAGAATTAAATATAATGAATAAGGAATTAAACCTTATTTGTTTCATACACTGACTGAATTTGTTGTGCATACTGCACCTTCCAAATAAAACTTAAGAGAAAAGGAGAAAAAAACCCAAGAATTAGACTAGCTCATATTCAGAATGAAACAAAGATCATTAATATAAAGTTCAATTTGTATGCTATTGTTTCAGTAACAGTGGGTATTAGGAACAATCTAAAATGGAGTAGAAAACTTATTTTAAAATTTTAATATTTTAAAAAATGTTTTAACTAAGTTATGTTTAAAGTGATTACAATAAGCATAACATTTCTGCCCTTATACCTATTTTATTATTTGTTATAATGAATAATAAAACACCATACGAGAACAATATCCTCTACCACCCATTCTACTTCATAGGTATGGAGGTGAAGTTAAGGGCATTTTTCAGTCTTTCAGTGATCTGTAATTTCTGAAAGAAACACCCTGAGGGGACATCTGTGCTGCTGAAAAACATGTGTTGGGTTTTCATTGCTCTATATTATTTAATTAAACGTTATATATATTTTGTTCTGTAAGCAGGATTGAAAGAAATCAATAAGGAAAAAATTCTCCTAAAACTTTACAATTCATATTGTTTTTTAAAGGTAACTAAAACAAAAGAGGCTGCTTTGTAATAACTAAAAGGGCGATTCTTTAAAAATGTTACAAACAGAAAAGCTCTTTTTATATATTAAGGATTTGTAACTGAACAAATAAATTCTGTTACAGTATGTGACTGAATGATAGAATAAAGTTAACATAAAGTCATCTGCATTTCATATTTAGTGAGACACTGAACAGCAGTATTTTTCATTAAAATCAATGGCCATAAGTTTTATTTACAAAACAACTACCAAAGAATCAATTATTTGGCCAAAGATGCTTGAAAGGGGAAGTTACTCACCTTGTGTAGTAACGATCGTTCTTCGAGATGTGTCCCTGTGGGTGCTCCACTCTAGGTATCGGGCTCGTCCTGGCACCTCTGATTGGAGGCTTTTCAACGGGAGAAACGGCTCAAACGGGGCGTGGCGGCTGCTGCGCATACGCGGTCTCGCCAACTACAGCTACGAAAAGCCACCGATCAGCGGCGCCGGGACAAGCCCAACACCTAGAGTGGAGCACCCACAGCGACCACTCGAAGAAGAACCAACAAATATACATGCTCGCTGTTTCAAACGACCACTCGATGAAGAACCAACAAATATACATGCTCGCTGTTTCAAAAATATGCATTGTCAATTGTCAAATAAATAAAGACAGAGTTGGTAGTTGCACCAACTGTAGCAGGAATCAGAGTAAGCATATTAAGGTGACTCCAATCTTTTCTCTCAGGATATGTGTACATTTCAAGCTCAATGAAACATACCTGCTCTAGCTCTGGTTGACACAGCATACTAAAATTAGAATGTAGTAAATGGGAATGCAAACTATGGGAAGCATTAGCTGCCCAAGTACATTTCTAGCGTTTCATAAGGATAGGTACTTCAGGTGGCAAGCCCATCCCTCACAGCTTTATTTTTAGCATGCTAGCTCCCATTGAGGAAGCATGAGTATGTATCTTCAAGCTGGAATTTATACCTCCAGTTCAAAGTGTAGACAAACCCATAGAATGTGCCCATGAACTCATTATTTTTACACACACACACACACACACCTGGTCCTCTAGCACCATAGAGGCTAACAAATATCACACACACACACACACACACACACACAACTGGTCCTGTAGCACCGTAGAGACTAACAAATATGTAAATAAATAATTAGTTACAGACTAACACAGCTAACCTTTGGATACCCACAGAATGTATTCAGAAAACTGTGATGGGCAACTTCTCCTTTGCCTCATCTACTGAGTCCTACAGACACACATGTTGCATACTATTTAACATCTATATGAAATTGTAGAGATCAAAGTATCCACAACCAGACTGCCACTAAGGAGTAGTGGAGTGGTTAAACTTACTGTAACCTCTTGCTTATGAATCTGGAGTCAGTAGTGGTTGAACCAACAAGGCTCACTCACTTAATGTGTGTTTTGTATGTATCTGCCAAAAGTGGATGTATCTAAAGAGGAGTGAAATTCCAATTATTTAGTGCAAAAATAAAAAATTGACATTTAAAACTTGTTAGATACTGTATCCTGTTGTATTTGTTATTTGTGAGTCTAATGGAATGTGGAGAATAAAGTTCTGCTTCCTTATCAGTTACTGTTCTAGTATTATCACTATGGTACAATGAACACAAAATTTGTGACAACATGCAGTACAGCTTTGTAAATTATATATTAATACACACTGAAACAAGTACATTCTTACCTGCTTTACACCACAAAAATTTGCAATGCTGTCTATCAATTCTGACATCACCTGCACTTCATGAGATTTCTTATTATTCATAAACTCATCTGTTTTGATTTCTGAAAGATCAGAAAAACAGAAATATTAATACAATTGGATTGTCTGGCCTTCATAGTCTTCAAATGAAATCAGCATCTATCTATAAACATATATATTTTAAAGTTTACATCTTAATATATATCAGTGGTTTTGGATTGTTGCAGTTTTGTTTTCTAAGAAGTTGTAAGAATGCTCTTCTGATTACATTTCTGAATCAAAGATGAATTAGTGAAACTGAACAACACAGGAGCAAAACCAGTAATACTGGGAGCAATACTAACCAAACACACAATTATCAGAGGGGTTGCCATGTTAGTCTGAATCTGCAAAAGCGGCGAGGAGTCCTGTGGCACCTTATAGACTAACTGAAGTGTAGGAGCATAAGCTTTCGTGGGCAAAGACCCACTTCGTCAGATGCATGTAGTGGAAATTTCCAGAGGCAGATATAAATATGCAGGCCAGAATCAGGCTGGAGATGACGAGGTGGATCCAATCAAGGAGGATGAGGAGGGGGATAGGGGATTCCCCTATCCCCAGCCACAGAACGCTGTCCCCACTCCCCTGTTCCCAGCTACAGAACTCTGTTCCCATTCCCATCCCCACTCCCCGAACTCTGTCCCCACTAGCACCCTGTCCCCAGCTGCAGAAACCTGTCCCCCCTGGCACCCTGTCCCCTGCTGCAGAACCCTGTCCTCTGACCTCCTGACACTCTGTTCCCTCTCCCCTGCTCCCAGCCGCAGAACTCTGTCCCCACAAAATGTATAATTATAAATGCTTCATTTTAGATTTAAATATGAATAAAAAACAGACCATTTATTTCATAACTATAAACACATGATTTTAATTTTATATATCGCATAATTTAAAAATAAACTGTTTATCAGAGTGTGTAAGTAAGGCTTTGTCTTAGCTTAGTCTTGGTTCTGGGAAGGAACCAATTTAGTGTTTTGTAGGAGAGTTTCCATTTGGGATTCAGCGCGAATGTGCTGCCATTCTTGTTTGCGTGACTGGAGAGAGCTGTAGGCCAGGAGGGAGGGGAGCTGAGGTGAAGAGAACGCTCATGGGTTCCCAAATGCGGGGCGTGCCCCCTGTAGGGGTGTGTGAAGAAATTCCAGGGGGGGCGCGAGGTGACCCAGCCACCCCTCTCCCCCGTCAATCCCACCCAAAGTTTTGCTGCTATTTTTTGGGCGGGGGGGTGAGAGTTTCTTAAAAATCAAAAAGGGGGGCGTGATGCCAAAAAGTTTGGGAATCACTGCTGTAGACAAAGCCTAAGAGATTTCGCAGGAGATAGCTGTGTGTATAGAGGGAAGGAAATTATACTTGTATGTGTGGGGTCACACAGACAGAGACAAAAAATACTTGTGAAGTAAGATGTGTAAAACTGAACCCCAAAAGCTCAGTTATGGAACAGAAAACAGAACAATTAAAGACACGCTTCTGCATAACCACTCAATTAATTCACCTTCCTCTTTCTTGTATTACTATCTTAATTTATCCAGAAACTGATAATCAGACAATAACCGCATTCACTCCTTAATCAGATCATTCTGGGAAGAATGCCCAGAGCATTATTTATTTAAAAGAGAGTAGAAGGTTGAACTGAGTTCATGAGAATCACAGAGTTTCCCTACTTTTCTCCAAGATCTATAGGATCTCTGCACTTTTTAAACATCTGGTACTGTATAACAAACTATTATGCCAATATTTTGAATCTAATATATAAGTTATGAACAAACAAAAAGAAAATAATAAACTTTAAAACTAACAAATGAAAGCATATGGGAGAAACCAATGTCTGTAATTTAATTTTTACTATTTATTGAGGACTTCTGAAGGTTCTCATTAAATGTAAAAATCCTTAAAGACCCCCAAGATTCTCTTAAAAAAACAAAATTGTAACCATTCCAGTTGAGAAGTTTAGGGTTCCTCCCACACAAGAATATGGTGCTGATGCAATCTTATTCCAAGAGATGAGATCTGACAGCTTTTCTAGATCTTCAGATAGGTTAGGATGGGATTGGCAACCTATGGCTCGTAAGTCATATATGGCTCACTTAGGAGTCAAATATGGGTCACAGCTTGAGCTCAGTCCTCCCCTTGCTCCCACCCCCACACAAAAGGGAACCCATACTAGTGCTGCAGCCTCACACCCCTTACAAAATTGGAGCCAGTGCCAGCTTCCTGCAGGGGTGGGGTGCTGGAGGAAGCCCTGAGCCTCGCTGCACAATCAGGGAAAAAGCCAGAGACATAAAACAATTCTGTGCATGCATGCACTCCCTTTCCCTGTCCCCTGGCTGGAGGAACAACATAGAACACAGGTGCTTTGCCTGCAGGCTTTTCCCGCTGCTCCATTGGCCACAATCCAGCCAATGGAGTAGCAGGAAGCCAGACCTGGGACAAAAGCAAACCCAGCTGCCATCGTGTCCCCAAAGGGCCTACTGCTCCATGCACTGCTCCTCCCCCACTTCATGTAGTCCACGTACGCTGTGAACTTGCACCCGCCAGAGAGCCCCATGGCCAATCCTGGCCAACCTGAAGAGGTACCAAAAGTGCAACTGAGTGGGCCAGTTCCCATCTGTGCCTGGACCTGCCGGCCAAACTCCCACCTCCATTCCAGACTCGGTCCTTGGGCCCCTAACTTATTCTGTGACCCATGTGGAGCAGCGTCTGGCTGCAATATGGGAATGATTGTTACAATATTGCAGACACTGGGGAAAAAAGTAAATTCCACCCAGAGCCTGTACCCCCAGCTGTGCCAAGACCCTGAACCCCTCAGCCCACTCCTGTCTCCTCCCCCCGGCCAGACACCTACCCACAGACCACTGCTGTCCCCTCCCCATGGACAGACACCCTACTCCCAGCCTGCTCCTGCACCCTACTTCCCACCCAGATCCTGCACCCCCATCCCTAAACCACTCAGCAGCCACTCTGTCCTGCACACTGGACCTCTCATTTTTGGCCCCACTCCAGAGCCTAGGGAGGGCCCACAAAATCCATAAACCCTGGAACTGCAGAAGAGTTAATCTGGCCTGAGGTCTTGAACCTCAGTCCTTCCTGCTTCCCCACATGAGGCTTGAGCACCAGGAAATGAGGTGTTTCAGTTGGGGGCCACATCAATGAGGGTTGAGGTTTCTGGAGGGTTTTTTTTTTGCTTCTCACTTGTGTGGTCCCTGACTCAAAAAAGGTTCCCCACCCCTGCCCTGAGCCCCTCATACATTCACATCCCAAAACTCATGCACCCTCACATCCCCAGCCTCCTGCTATAAGATGAAAGAAGATAGCCTAAATAAGTGCATGAAGCTGAATTTGACCAGTTATGATGTAAACTTAAAAGCAATGTGCAAAAAGATGCAGCAACAGAAGTCCCATCAAGTAGTCTATTAGTATATTTCATTTATGCTATTATTAATCATTGTGTCAATTATCAATAATATTAAGTTGTATGTTTTCAGTCATGCAAATAGGCATTCTTATATGGCTTTTTGTTTACCACTTGTTCTAAATTTTGATGTAGTTTGGCTCTTTGGTTTGAAAAGGCTGCTGACCAATGGTTAGATCTAAATCAGGAGGGGGCAGGGAAGAAGAGGCACAGAGTATCACAGATACCAAAATATAAGGATCTTCATTTCCGTGTTTTTTACAACTTTTTTCATTTCAAAGATAATATTTCCCAAATAATAAATATTCTGTTTTTCTGTTCAGATAAAACTTTTGTTGAAAAAAATGTAAATTTTGCTCAAGGGAACTACTGGGCAAATCTTGGTCCCAAATCAGCAATATTGTTATAAAATATATGCTATATACTTTCCCTTGAGTTTCAATGTGAAGGTCAACGCCCAGAAGAGGATGTTTAAAATATTAAGTGAGCAAAGTCTGAGATCCCAATGCTTAAACTGAGTAGAAGCAAAAAGACAAATCCTGCAGTTAGGCTGATTTACACCAGCTGAGGTTCCAATACAAAATTAGTGTCTCTTTCTACCTACACATTTACCTGCATATAAAAAGTGTTTATCGTTATATTACTAATGGTACATAAATGTCTTTATGTTCATTCTTCCCAGCTTTTCCCAGTCTGGTCCTGTGCTCATTCATCAAAATAGGACTCAGGGATGGAAAGAGGAAGGATGTAAAATTATTAGATTAAATATTATTGTTTGTGTAGGGACTTTTAGTGTCTAAAAGACTTTTTCCACTTTTCAGACGTGCTGTGATAATAAATGATATACTGCAGTATAATGAAAAACCATACAGCTTTAAGCCAGTGTAATGCTATAGGGGAAAAGTGCAGTTTGAGAAAATTGGCAGGGAATTTTCCAGTTTTAAAAAGAGGCTTTTATTTTGTTAAACACTTTTGCAGTGTATTGTGCTGCTCCTCAAGATCTTCCTATGGATGTGGATACCCATTAAAAAGTTAACGGGTTAAATTATATAATTTTAATGTTAATCATTTAACTAATTAAGCATGGAGAGCTGGTGCTGAATAGCTAGGGTCCCTCAGCTGGGACTGCTCCAAACAGCGGGGTCCCGTGGCCAGGACACTGCCAGCCAGCCCACCATGGGTAGAGGTTTTTTCCAGCCTTGTCCTTGGTGGATGGGGCTTCTCCAGGCATCTACACAGAGGCCAAGAGCCTACCATCTTCTCTTGGTCAGTATAGCTTTTGCAGGAGCCAAATTGATGGGGGAATTCCAGCTGTGCTGGCTGGATAGACATCTATCAGGGATGGTCTAGACAGTATTTGGTCCTGCCATGGGGGCAGGGGACTGGACTCGATGACCTCTCGTGGTCCCTTCCAGTTCTAGTATTCTATGATTCTATGAACCAGATCCTCTTCTAAGGAAGAGTTTTGTGAAGTTCAAAGAATGGAGCACAAAAATAGGTAAATGTATACTGACTTGGCAGCCTTAATTTGTGGAGGGTAAAATGATGCCTCTGCAGCCATTTATCCAGCATGCCCCCCCTTCCTACATTATATTGAGAAGTGCTGAAGTCTTAGCAGATGCCTACTGGGCATGCTGAAAAGCAATCTTAAATCACTCATGTTTCTTGTTTTTATTCACATAAACACATAAGACGACCCAGTTCCAGCCACAAAAATACCCACAACAATCATATGCATCATTGTCTCCACCTTCTGGGTTTTCTGTGGAGGTCTCTTATCTAACTGTGACCTATCAGCATCTGCTGAAGTGAATCCCTGTACCCATGCGGAATCCCATTGATTTCAGGAAAATTCAAGGCCCTTATCTGATGCTTCAGATAGGAGATAACAGCTTGAGGTGAGCTTGCTGCAAGACATCTTAATGAAGCTTTTAACACAACCAAAAATACCAATCAAAACTCACTCTGCTCATGGAGAAACAATAACTAGAGCAGGGGTGGGCAGCCCGCTAATCCCTGGCAGGCTGCTGTTGCTATGTTTACCTGTGCTTCTGCAGGTATCAGGCGATCCTGGCTCTTGTGGGCCATGGATCGCTGAAAATCAGCTGATAGAAATCAGTATCTGCTGATCCCAGGGCTCTACTCCCAGGAGATGCTGCAGCTAAAGGAAAGCTGCATGGTGCTGCCACTCCCAGGAGCCAGTGCCCAGTGACAGCAGCTCCTCCCAGCCATGAAGATGTCTCTTATCTGAGGGTCGTACAACCCCATTGGTGTTGGGGCTGGAGGCAGTACAGCTGCATGGATTTCTATCCGCAGATATCGATATCTATGGGTAGACATTTGTATCTATGCAGGGTACTAACAATAACGGGAATAGAGCTAGATGTTTTCCTAAGTATTGAACCATGTCAAAGTCTCTCAGTCTGCCTTCCTAGCTAGCCCCATCTAAGGCTGAGTCTTAGAAACATCTACAGCCATAGGAGTGCAATGATTCCTTTTACTCACATTTCAGGGGGGAAAAATCCTATAAATCTGTGTACTGGAGTAAGTAGCTAATAATAAAAGTAAATTGAGCAGTAAAAGTGAGAGACTCATCTAACCTTAGCCACCATAGTACTTGCTGAGATTTTTGTAAGATAAATAAATTCCAATATACCATATCTCTCTTGTTGCTTTCCACTCAGTGCTCCAAGCATCTGTTCTAATGGAGTACACACATCAAGGCTTGGCAAGGAATGGTATTTAGCAGCGAGTGCAAAGAACTGCACATTGACCAGCTTCTGAGAATTTTCACAAAACACATTGGAAAACTTGCAGTTATCTGTGTGGAAAGTGAAGGGAAAAGTTATGTTAACAATAATTAACAATTATATTGCTATTCTACTCTGAACTGGAGAATATACAACAAATAAGAAATACAATAGATTATTAATATTTTTCCCTTTAGAACTGGACAAGTCATTATATTTCTTCACATTTTATTTTTCTTTATAGAATTTAGGACAAATTCTGCACTCAGTTACACTAATATAAATCTGAGGTAAATCCATTCACGTCAACAGAGCTACTTAAACAGCAGCAGATTTTGGCTAAAGTTCCATCCCTTCTCATTTAACTTCTTGCCTGCTGTGAATGCCCTCTCTCTCTCTCTCTCAGCACTATGTATCACTGGACTCTTAACCCTTAATTAAAATTTTTCTTCCCAAGGTGATTCCTAGAGACAACGTATTTTAGTATCAGTAAAAAAATACAATCATTAAATATACAGACTCTACTAACTTACAGATAGTACATTTATAATCTCTCTCAGTTACTCTAGATAGCTGAATTTCCAGTAAGAAATGCATTCACCCCAAAATCTAGGTCTGACTGTAACTTAGTTCCCCAATTGTCAATGATCCTGAACAAAGTGTTCTGTTTGCTGGCAATATCTAACTCATTAAGATGAGGACTAAAAAGGTGGCAAATTTTCAAATGATTTTAAAACACAACCTGGAAATAATAACTGACACCGAATTAGAAAATTAGAATCAACATCGGCTGGTTGGCAAAGGCGCACGATGCCTGCATCTTCCGGCACTCCTGCTTCTTCCAAAAGATGCATGCTGGCACTTTCCGTCCCCTCCACCCCCCTCCACCTGCACCATCTGAGTCGGGGTGATGGACATGTCCATTGTAATCCTAGGCGATGCAGCCTACCCTTTGATCCCCTGGCTTATGAAGTCCTACATGGGCAGCAAGGAGCATTTCAATGCCAGGCTGAGGAGGTGCTGCATGGTCGTTGAATGTGCATTCGGACACTTAAATGGGAGATTCAGGGGTCTTCTCACTCACCTGGACCTCAGCGAATGCAACATCCCCTTTGTGGTGGCAGCCTGCTGTGTGCTTCACAACTTCTGAGAGAGCAAGGAGGAGACTTTCCTGCCAGAGTGTGAGACAGAGGCTGAACGCTGGCCAGGGCTTAGGAACAGCCAGACACTAGTGCCATTTGATGATCACATGTAGGGGCTGTGCTCATCAGGGAGGCCTTAGGGGAGAGTTTCAGCCAAGGCCAGTTGTGAGACTCTCCCTCATATCTCCCCACAAGGGGCCTCTGCATTCTCCCTGTGTTCCTTTCCTTCCCCACCTCTCCCTTCCCCCATCTCTTGCAGAGCAAATAAAAAACCTTTTTGGTTTGAAAAACCAAGTCTGTTTATTCGGGGGATATACAACAGGGGAGAGACTGGGGAAAGAACCTGGAAGAAGGGAGGCTCAGACATGGGGCTGGGACTGGTGTCTCCCTCAATCAGATCATGAGATTTGGCTGCCTGAGAGGTCTCACTGCCCTGTGTTTTGGGGCCCCAGCAGCTCCTGGAGGGGGCTAAAAGGGGAAACAATGGGTTGTGGGAGGGCAAGGAGGTGACTGGTGGTCCACTCCATACACGAGGCCATTTGCTCTATCACCCATATACGGTCTCGTGCTGGCATGCCAGGTGGTCCCAAGTGGTCTTCCTCTGCTCCAATTCAGCCCGGTGCTCCTCTTGGTCAACGACCTGCTCCTAGTACTTCTCATTGAATCTCTGGATGAGGGACTGGAGGCAGGCCATCTATTCATACATGAAGTCTTTCTGGGTGCATTTCCTCCAGAAGATTCCATGGAGCTGAGAAGATGGCATGGGAGGTGGTGGACACACCACACTCACAGCTGGCCCACATCTGAAGAGAAGTTACAGGGGCAGTCATGCCAGGAGACACTGTGTATGAAGCTGAGCACTAATCTCTGAGCCGACACCAAAGGTCTCAGTTCAGATGATGGTGCTGTGTTTCGAGCAAGGCCATATGTTGCCTTGACAGTGGGCACTTTTCTGCCGGGCATGGATGTGCCAGGGGAGCATCGCTATACCAATGGCCCAGGGATAAGCAGGCATGGGAAGGTGCCAGCCAGGCCAGGAGCCTGCAGGCAGGAGGGGGAATGGGGTGGTTCGGCTTCCTTCTATGTTGGGCATACACTGGGTTTTGCACTCACGGTGTCCCGCAGATAGAGAACTTCTATCCCTGCCCATTGGAGGGGGCTGGGGGGCTATAGGAGCAGGCGTGTGTGAGAGGCAGAGGCCACTTGTTGGAGAAAGTGCTACTGGGGTCCCCTTCTCTTCCTCCCCCCAGCAGGTTCCCATGTAGGGGATCAGTCTCCTCTACATTGCTGTGTTTGGCCAGGAGCGGATACTGACTGAGTGTGAGCATGACACTGTGCCATGTGTGGCACTGCCGTGTGGTTCCATGACTCCAGCCTCCTTACCAGTGGCTTGTTGTGGGAAGGTGTCCCACTGCAGAGTCTGGTACAAGAACATTGTGACAAGGACCGAGGGGTTCCTGTGTGAGTGTCTCATGAAGCTGAGTGCCCAAACTGGTGCTCCATGTGCACACATGTACACAGACTATTGTGTGGAAACCAAGCCGAGAAGGCCAAGTGAGGAGCGCGCAGCCCCTCGCAACCTATCATCTATCCCCGCATGCATATAGGGAAAGTGATAGAACTCACACAAAGTGCCTTCCCCAGGTTCGTACAGTACCTGGGAGACATCCTGGGGGGGAGAAGGGGGATTGGCTCCAGGGTGAGAAGCAGGTCTTGTTTGTAGGCATGGTCACCTGACTGGCCTCCTCCTCTACAACCCCACACTCCTGGAGGCTTACGCAAGGGCAAGTCCTGGCCAAACTCGAGGACGACAGGGGGATAGGAGGTGATCGGCCCCCTTCCCACGATGGCATCAAGCTGCTCATAGTAGTGGCATAGTGTGAGGTGCTGTCCTGGAGAGTCCACTCTTCTCCCTGGCCTTGTTGTAGGCTTGCCGGAGGTCCTTGATTTTCATCCAGACCTGGTCAAGGGTCTGGGTATGGCCTTTGTTGGCCAGGTAGGCATCCGTCTGACCATACACATCAGCACTGTGCTTTCTGGTATGAAGATGCTGGAGGTTGGTCTCCTTGCCCAGAATCTCCACACCAGTCCAGGCCACTGCTCTCCTACATCCCTGGCCAGTCACTGCTGAGGGTGCTGCAAGAGTGCTGGCAGCTGTGGGGGACTCAGAGGGAGCACTAGGGTCCGCCATGGCTCCATCTGCTGAGGCTGTATGGCATGGAGCTGGCAAAGCTCTCCCCATGCCACAAGCCCTTTTCCTGAAGCCTGCTACTTTAAGATCTGCAGGAGAAGGGGAGCAGAGGAGCTAGCAGGTGTGGCCAGAACAGTCACAAATGCAGCTGTGAGAGACCTCTGTAGACCACTTATTTTGAATTAGCAGCATCCGATCATCCACACTAACGCTATTTTGAAATAGCAATTTTGAAATAGGGGTTATTCCCCAAGGAAAGCAGGATTACACATTTCAAAATAACTAGTCCCTTATTTCAAAATAACAAGCCTGACAGTGTGGACACTCCACTTGTTATTTTGAAAAAAGGGGGGTGTCACGCCAGCCCGCTGTGGGCCCCTTGATTTGTCGTACCCAACACAGTCTAGCACTCGAATTTCTTCGTCAG